ACACTCTGCCTTCCTCCCCATATAACACCTCTCCCTAAGAAAATTCCCACTGGGAAGAACCAAAAAGCAGCAGGCAGATCTGAGATAGAAATGTCCACGTGGAGCGGAGCTGGGAATGGCTCCCTTTCGGAAACATTCATTCGGCCCGGTTAGAGGTGGTTAGACGGTGATGCCAGACATGGCCTTGCAGGGCCGGCAGGCAGTTCTACACTGTTGGGGCCACCGCAGGGTGTCCCTGTTACCAGGGGCTGGGAGGGACTGCCCTTCTCCGCCATGTGCCTCAGACTTGTCCCTGGAGTCCCTTATTGGGCCATGGTAACGGAACCATAATCCAAACTATGTTTTTGGCTTATCATCATGTTTTATCTTCAATGTGAATGCAGACTTTATTTTTAGTCTCATTTGTTTTCTATTAAAACATGTTTGCTTTAATATAAAAGCAAAGTTTTAAAATTATTTCCTAGCGAGTCCAATTGATGCCAGGAGGATATCCTACAAGGAGGTGCCCCGAATTTGAATCGCAGGTTAGCCTAGGCTGCGGCTTCTAGAGCAGGTCTTGGCTTAACCCCTCACAGGTAGTGTGGACCCCTCAGGCTCCTCAGGGTCTTCCTGCTGACCCCAGAGGCCGGCCTTTCCTGTGTGAGGGCCTCAGAGGGCACATCCTGAGGGCCCTTGCTGGGGGGCGCAGTATCCAGGAAGTGGAGGTTCAGCCTCCGAGCGAGGCTGAATTCCTTTAGTGCCCCCTGGTGGCCACTTCACTCAAGTGAAGACATTTGGGCTGCTGGAGGAGAGAGGGTTCCTTCAGACATCAGAAGTGGGGGGGCGCTGTCCCTGGGGATTGGGTCTCCACTGGCTGGTGCCTTCGGACACCTTAGACAGTTGGTCAGCCGTTAGGTGGCCGAGTCTCCCACAGGTACCCACCTGCCTGGTTGTTGAAGGCTTTTCATCTTTGGGCAGATATGAGGAAAGGGGAGGCACCCGGGGGGCCCCCAAAGGATTTTCCGCTGCCTTCTTTTCGAGCCGGCTGAGGACATAGAAGGGCCTGCTGGCCTGTCCTAGCCTGAGCTTCCCCTGCCGGGGCCAGCTGCCGTCTGCGGGCAGCTGTCCGGAGGGTTCTGCGGCCCTCCACACGGAGGCCGAGGCCCTGGTGCTTGACCACACTTGTTCTACTTAGGACTGGGCCAAGCCAGGACCTTATGATCAGCCCCTGGTGAACACCCTACAGCGCCGCAAGGAGAAGCGGGAGCCGGACCCCAATGGAGGAGGACCCACTGCTGTGGGTGGTGCGCCTGCAGCTGCCGAGGAAGCTCAGAGACCACGGAGCATGACCGTGTCAGCTGCCACCAGGGTGACGCTTTTATTCTCTGCCCTCTAGACCTGGCCAGCAGCAGGGGGCCGAGTCAGCCTTGCAGCTGGAAGGACCTGAGCCCTGTTCCCCCCGCCCCAACCCCGAACTTCCTGCACCCCCGGGGAAAAGCCTTGTATTGACATCAGACTGGTAGAACTTTCTAGAGCCCGGGTAGGACCCATAGATGGGTGATGTTCACGGGAGCAGAATAGGAGCACTGCAGAGGCTCCCACTTGCAGGAGTATGCGGAAAGGCTCTGGGGACACCGGACAGGGCATTCACGGCCCCCGTGGCTTGTCTGTGTCTCTCTCGTTCCTCCCGCGTGCAGCCTGGTGAGGAGATGGAGGCTTGCGAGGAACTGGCGCTGGCCCTGTCGCGGGGCCTCCAGCTGGACACGCAGAGGAGCAGCCGGGACTCGCTCCAGTGCTCCAGCGGCTACAGCACGCAGACGACCACCCCGTGCTGCTCTGAGGACACCATCCCCTCCCAAGGTACGAGGCGGTCTGGGGCTTCCTGAGCATTGGCAGGTGAGGAGAAGGGGTGCCCTCCCTGCCGGGACGAGGCAGAAGAATGAGCACAGCGTCAGCCCTGGCCAGCAGACCCGCTGCGGAGCCACTGTCATCCTCTGGGCGTGCTCGCGAGAGCTGACCTGTAGTGAGCGGGTAGCTGCCACGTCCGGTGACCGGACTTTTGCAGCTTCTCCCATGTCTCACCATCCGGGTGCAGGATAGCTCCCAGGGTGAACTCAGATGCCGCGAATGACAGTCAGGTCATTTGTGTCGCAGCACTTTGTGCTAAGCGCTCTCTTTTCCCATTTGAGCTTATGGTAGTACGGATTCTCGCCCTCGTTTTACGCATCGGACAGCGAGGCTCAGTACCTCGCCCAAACAATCGATGAGCAGCCCCGGAGCTTGAACCTCAGTTCTGAAGGCCCGAGTTCTTCACCTATTCCAGCCAACTCTTCTACTAACCCCGCCTCCCTCACCACAGCACACGCAGGCCAGCAAGATGGTGGCCGGGGCTAGGGCGCATCTGGGGGAGTTGAGCAAACGTGTTTGCGGTCCACTGGCCAGAACTTCTAGGACTAAGTGGGTCTCAGTGAAAGGCCGTTTTGCTGTCCAGGGGACATCGGGCAATGTCCGGAGACATTTTTGGTTGCCACCAATGGAGGGGGTGCTGCTGACATCTAGTAGATGGTCAGGGATGCCGCTAAACATCGTGTAATGCACAGCACGGCCCCCTGTCCCCGCAACAAACCTCTCGCCTGGCCCCAGATGCCGGTGGTGCTGCTGTTCAGAAACCCGCTCAAAGACGTTCACTCTGTGTGCTTCTGCCTCCCGTGTGACCCCAGTGTTGAGAGCACATACACACACCTCGCGGACGGAGCCTGTCTTTGTACCTGTTTTCAGGGGCTCGTTGCCAGTAGCTCCGTTCTTTTTCCAGCCTTCGCCTGGCGAGTCCCTTATGAGAGAGTAAGGCCTGCGATCGTCTAAGGGTTGTTTCTCTTGTCAAATTCCGGGCTGGAGGGTCTGTGGAGTTTCTTTCCTCTTCCCGCTCACCTCCTTTATTCCTCCCAGAGCAGCTGGGTGGGTAGCCCTGATGTGGCCCGGCCTTCGGGCATGCTTCACCGCTCAACAGGATCGCGTGTGTGCCTGTGACGTCCAGCCCCGTTCTAGGGCCCAGGATTACATCGGGAGCAGGACGAAGATCCCTGCCTGGTGGCGGGGTTGGGGGGCAGTTCTCAGACGTTGGGGGCCTCTAAGGACGGTGTGGAGATTGGGGGAGGTGCTTGGGATGAGGCTGTGGGTAAAGCGCCTGGCCTCTCGTGCCTTTTGTCCTCTAGCACAAAAGAATCAAAAAGCAAAGCTGCTGCCTTGGAGATTCCTAATCAAACCTTGTCATCAGTTTCAGATTATGATTATTTCTCTGTAAGCGGTGACCAGGAGGCAGACCAGCAGGAGTTTGACAAATCATCCACCATTCCGAGAAACAGTGACATCAGCCAGTCTTACCGACGGATGTTCCAAGCCAAGCGCCCGGCCTCAACTGCTGGCCTCCCCACCACCCTCGGACCTGCTGTGGTCACCCCAGGGGTTGCAACCATCCGACGGACCCCCTCCACCAAGCCTTCTGTCCGCCGGGGGACCATCGGAGCCGGTCCCATCCCCATCAAGACACCCGTGATCCCTGTCAAGACCCCAACCGTCCCAGACCTCCCCGGGGTGCTGCCGGCACCTCCGGATGGGCCAGAGGAGAGGGGTGAGCACAGCCCCGAGTCGCCCTCTGTGGGTGAGGGCCCCCAGGGTGTCACCAGCATGCCCCCCTCAATGTGGAGTGGCCAAGCCTCCGTCAACCCTCCTCTTCCAGGCCCGAAGCCCAGTATCCCCGAGGAGCACAGACAGGCGATTCCAGAAAGCGAGGCCGAAGACCAGGAAAGGGATCCCTCAAGTGCCACTGCTTCCCCAGGCCAGATTCCAGAGAGTGACGCTGCAGACCTGAGCCCGAGAGATACTCCGCAAGGGGAAGACATGCTGAACGCCATCCGAAGGGGCGTGAAACTGAAGAAGACCACCACAAACGACCGCTCAGCCCCTCGCTTCTCGTAGGCTCGCTTAGGCTCCCAAGAAATGCTGCCAGTGGGGAAGGAACTGTTTAATTCATAAAACCTAATTTGTCTCGATCCATTCCAATCTGTAATCAAACAAAAGATTTTGTAGGCAACTCAGAATACAGCTCTTTTGAAAGTACTCGACACCTTTAGCTAAGAATTAAAAGCAACATACGTAACTGACATAACTTTGATCTTTTAATTTGTAAATATTGACAGTTTTCTTTCTGCACATTTTAATCTTAGTTTCCCTTTTGATTTTTCTGAAGGTGCCAAATTCCATTTAACTTTTTTACAAGTCTTTGTAAAATTTTAAATGCATAATGGGGCGGGGGGGTGGTCGGGGCAGGGGAACCACGAAGTAGTTAATTTCAGAAAAAAGGATAACTATACTTCGCTTTTTCTTTTCTCTCTTTTCTTTTTCCTGCAAGCTTTTGTAGATGCATTGTTAGTAGTCTGGCTTAGAAGCAAATTCAAGTTATTTTAATGTACAAACAAAATGGATAAAGGGGTAAAATCTTCACTTAAACGTAGTATGTTCTGGCTGAGAAAAGCAGGAGTAACAATTGATGAGCAATATTCAGAGAGAAGTGAATCTGGAAATGGTAGACTCTGTTGGGATTGGGGGGAGGGCCGTGGGAGGGGCACACTGTCAACATAGCCGATCCTGTTAACATTTAAGAGTAGCCTTGTAGGTTGAATTTCTAGTATCTTCATGGTAAATGCATCCGAACAAGCCATACTGGATTGCAGTGTCTGTTTCTGTAGGGTGTTTAAGGACTTCCTTTCTCCCACGATTCCTCTTGACTGCACAGCACCCACCTCCAATCCCGTGCATGCTGCTGCCGCCGGTTAGACCTAGAACCCCCCACTTCAGTTACTCGTCTCTTGTACCCACTTTCATGGGATCCAGATGCGTCCAAAAAGGGTAAGGCAGTTTTAAAAATGTGAAGAACATTTTAAAATGATGAGAGCAGGGAATTCTTAGATATAGCAAATAAATGCCTTTTACTTAACTGTGCCCAGCAGGCTGGGCGCGTTGAAAAGCCCAAATATTTTGAAAAAACTCGAGCGGATTTAACAAGGGTAACCAGCTTGGAATCTAGCAACTTGCCAATGTGTTTACCAATCTGGGGGCTTGTTTTTCTTATCTTCTTTTCAACAAATGGCAGTGAATTGGCATCATACCAAACATTGAAGAGAGGAGGATTTATTTATTGTCACTGGGAATCTGGCCACTATACTGTCCCTTTTTTTGTATTCTAGGTAATGTTTTTGGAATGGATTTATGTCTTTTCTTACTTTAAGTGAAAGTTCGATTTGTTCTAATGCCCATTCCCTAAAGCCAACAGAGATTTGTAGGTTTAAAAGGGATCTTGTTTGCAGAAGACAGCCGGGTTTGAAAAAACCAAGCAGGTCCCTTAAGCAATTGGGTCCGTTCCTCTGAACGAACAGGAGCTTGGTGGGTCCCCCAGACCCTGCAGGTTTCTGTTGGCTCTAATCTTCAATTACATAATCTTATGCTTTAATACATAAGTGCATTGGATGTGAGAGTAACGTACCTGTATAGTCACTGTTCTGTATATTAACATTTAACACTGCTGTGATTGCTCAAGGGCATTTTATGTTACGGCTTTAAAGCAAAGGCATGATTATTAGAAACTATTTAAGCTTTTTTTTCTTTGAAAAACAAGCTCCTTCTACAGAATATAAGCAACAGTAGTGCCTGTGGTTTAGCCCACCAATCTTGATGACTAAAAGTAGCTGATGCATTGTGCATATGATGCTTGAGATGGTTTTTGCAAAAGCAGAAATCACTGCAAGGTAATTACAATAGATAAAAGTGGTATTTTAAACCTTCGAAATAAACGGATGTGACTGTACCCTGGTACAGCTTTTCACGTGTTTAGTTTTTAAACGTTAGTATAATCTGAATAAATTTAATATAAAATGTTGCCAAATTCAATGTAGAAAGAATGTGACAAAACACCTTGGGTAGTTCTGTTTGTGTTTTTGCATATTGTAAAAGCAGTGTCACAGCTAAAAATAAAGAAATCGTTTCTCAAGGTAAATTATTGTGGTTTAGTTGCTAGTTTGTACTGAGAGTTGACCTCTCCCTGTGCAGTTTTTTGTTCTAAACTTGTATAAATAACAATTGTGTAATGTGTCTCCCTTCTACCTTGTAACAATTGCTTCAGCCTACATTATAAATAAAGAACCACTAGAAAACAAAAAACGGTATTTCAAGACTTATTAAAACTCAGTCGCAAGTCTTAGCAAGTCGCAACTCAGAAGACACCCGGAGACTCCGGTTGGGCTTACTCAGAACACCCACAGAACGTTCTTTTTGTCATGGCCGTGAACCCCCGAGAACACGAGTTGCCTCAATCGATGAACTATGTGAACACAGTTCTAATGAGCTATCACAAACTAAAAGCAGGTGGGTTGGCTGATGATGCTAAAAATGGCTCTAGCTTTTAGAGAAGCTTCTTCCAACATATAAAGAGTGCTGCTGTCCCCTTCCCTGTGACAATCCAGGCCACAGGCTGCCTCCAAAATAGGTGTCACAGTTTCAGACTGGACCCTTTCACTGCAACCCCCAAACCTCCAATCCTGCGTGAACCCCACAAACTCCATCATACTTATTTGAGTGTGTGCTGCTTCGAGGTTTTCTTTTAACCACCTAAAATCTCATTCTTGGCACCTTTAGAAAACCAAAAATGGTATCTCAAGCCCTCAATCCTCACACCCCTTCCCTAGACTTCGTATTGCAGCCCCTGAGCCTTCAACTGGAGCCTGTGACTCATCTTCAGAGTAACTCCTGTATCTGGTTCTGTGCAGCTGTCCCTGATGATACGCGCTATCGACAGGACTCCCTGGGGCAGGGGACACTTGACCACACTCCGCATACTTCTGGCACAGGTGGCAGGAGACGACAGCGGCACAGCCGCTTGGTGTCACGTTAACGCGCAGAGGAACACATCAGTCACACCACATGGAGTTATTTTTATTACGGCACGTGTGTGCCCGTTCTGTAACTTATTTCACTCGCAAGCGTGACAGGCGAGGCGTCTTCCTCTCTCTCTACATGGGCCGCTCCCGGGGCCTAGTCACAATATGCCACCACAGGGGGGGCAAATCGCCTTCCTTTCGGGCCGGGGGCAAAGCTTCAGTGTTGGGACCGCCGGGTGGGGTTTCCTCCTGCAGCTGCTTGACCTAGAAGGGGGAAGGGAGGAACAATTAGAGTCAAACTGACTGGAAACTGTGAAGTATCTGCTTTGAACCTGTGTCACATTTACATGCTTTCTGGCTCTCACTACTGCAAAGGGTTTTTTCTATATACCTGCCTTATTTTTATACCCACAGTTTAACTCAGAGAAACAATTCTCCTTAAAGGTTTTCCCGTTCTTAAAACAGCAGAGCCAAGAAACCCTCTGCCCCTGTCCCTTACTCATTAAGCAAAATTGCGACAATTACCCCTTGTTATGGTCCCCCACCTGCACTCCCTAAAAAGGCATTTTTGTGTCTCAGCTAAGAGCTCTCCAAAAGCACCATTAGGAAACCTTAATTCTTCTATGTTAGAGATGTTCATTTTAAAGCCCCCCAAGTAGCAACCAGAACAAGATATAAAGTGAAATCACACGTGAAAACGTGCTCCATTCTGCCTGATGTTGTCCAGTCACCCCCCGGTTCCAGAGACCTCCAAGACTATCCCTGTCCTGACAGAGGACATGTAAGAGACCCACTCGCCAGAACCATGATTTTCTGGAACTTCCTTCAGAAAAAGTTCTGGATTGTGGGCGACCGGCGTCTCCAGCATATGTGCTGTTTAATCATGTCAGGCGGACGAGGTAAAGGGAGAACGTTTCTATGGAGGGGTCACCGGTGACTGACTGCAGAATGAACCTACTGCTCTCCATGAGTAAATACACCCCTGCCCCCTTTCCCAAAGAGGAGACATCCCTTAGCAAACACTGCCCTCCCTGGTCAAAATGACTTTCTTTCCACTCCGCCTTGGCCAAGGACTTCCTGCCGTCAACATCCTGGACCTTATCACAAGCACCCATATGACCTTCGAATCATGAATCAGATATCCCACTGTACAAACACAGTGCCCCTCTCCGGCTCGTGCTTAAATGTCCCTTTGAAGATGCTCTTGAAACTCAAGAGATGGCCGGTTCACAGACCTCCTGACCCAGCTTGCCCTTCTCTCTCCACCAGCCTCCTGTCTCCATGCCGCCTCTACCCACTTAGATCCCACCGGAACAATCACTTGAACAGCCTCTGGTCTTGGACACTCTCGACCGGACAAACGGTAACCACTCACTTCCAGTCTGCACCAGACCGCCTGGATTGCTAGAAAGAAAAAAATGCCGGCACAACTGGTGCCAACCCACGAGCCATTCCCAGCTTCAACCGGGCCTTCACCACCACCTGGCGATCTTCCTATTCCCGGCGTGCTCCTCTCCCGCGGCTACCACATCCTTCCCACACTCTCCAAACAGGCTGCGCCCACTTCATGCCTTCTCCCCCTCGCAAAAAAGAGAAGCCGTCCCGTACAACTCTCCTTTTCCCGTCACCAAAACTTCTGGCCCAAATGTACTTCCACGCATCTTTCGTCCAATTCTCGTGGAGGCAGAACCTGTTCTCCTTTCAAAGGCCTCCACGTATGCCTGGGATCCCATCCCTCTTCTCGAAAGCTTTCCTCCTTGACCTTTTCACCTCGCTTCAATCTCGTCCGTTTCTCTCCCACCCCATCTCTTCATCAGTACACATGCATCCATATTTATCTTAAAAGAAAATAATGCCTCGGTCTCCAGTTCCAGCGAAACTTCTCAAGAATCCCTCGCCCCCAACCCCACAGCTGTCTTCTCTTTGTTTTCCACTTGCTCCCACCAGTGCCATTAATCCCTCCAAAAAAGGCTCTCGCCAAGGCCACTAATGCCCTTCCCGTGGCCGCAATCCGTGGTCATTATTTCCAGGCGTCACTCTATTCCACTTTTTAGCAACTTTCGGCAAAGGTGACCAACGCTGACCGGCCATTCCTGAAACACTCTGTCCTGGACTTGCTGTCACCCTTCTCCCCTGCAGGGGGCTCTGCCATCTCCTTTCCTGACCTCCACAGGTGGGAGTGCCTGTGACTTTGCTTGTCTCTCTCCACTCTCTTAAGAATCACGTTTCTGTGGCTTTATTTTTTAATGTTTACCCATTTATTTTTAAGGGAGAGCACAAGCTGGGGAGGGGCAGAGAGAGAGAGGGAGACACAGAATTCGAAGCAGGATCCAGGCCCTGAGCTGTCAGCACAGAGCCCGATGTGGGGCTCGAACTCAGACCGTGAGATCATGACCTGAGCTGAAGTCGGCCACCCAAACGACTGAGCCATCCAGGTGCCACTCTGTAGCTTTTAAAACAACGGATATGTCACAAATTTCTATTTCAAACTCAAATCTTTCCTTTGAGTTCGCAATTCGTACACCCAAAGTCACCTACTGACATCTGCACTTGGGTCTCACAGTATTCTCAAATTTAACCGAAAACCAAGCGCTTGCTTGTCCCTCTGACACCTGTTTTTCCCTCATCTTCTCCAGCTCAATAAATCATCACCAAACTCCAGGTGTTAAAGCTGGAAACCTGGAACTCATTCTCGATTCCTCCCTGTCCCTCACGCACCCCCTCATGGCTGCATCCAGTCAGCCTTCATGTCCCTCCAAATGACATCCTGAATCGGCCCCTTCCCTATCCGCTGCATCCGCCCTGGTGCAACCCCCAACCGGCCTCTCCATCTCTCCCCCCACCCTCTCCAGCACAGCCTTCCCACTATGGCAACGCTCAGCTTTTAAAAACGTCACTCAGACCTCCGCAGTGAAAAGTGTCTGAGGCACGGATGGAGAGGAAAGTTAGGGACACGCGGGGATGGCAAGCAGGTCAGGCAAAGGACTGAGGAAGAGGAGGGGAGAAGCAAAATAGCAGAAAACCCAGAGACCAGCGACACATCGCCACCTGTTTGCGTGAAGCCTGTTAAGTGCTACATTTAACACATCTAGGAACATCTAGATATACTAGGAAGTATATCTGGGAGGCAAGGGGCCACGGTGACTGTCATCACCGGAACCTGGGCCTCTGCGCACGGGGAACAAAACCCGAGCGTGCTCCCGTGCCGCCCATGCGGGCCGAGCTCTGCGGCGAAAGGTGGGGAGGACTCACCTCCCGCTCCCAGCTCTCCCTCCGCAGCTTCTTCCACTGCTCTCTCTTGGCAAAGTAGTCTGGATACATCGCCTTCTCGGATGGATGCCAGTCGTCTAAGCACCACTCAGGAACCTGTCCGGAGACGAAATCACCGCGTTGGCCCAAGGGAGGCACTGATGTGCCAACCAAAGGGCCTGCCCAGGAGGCAGAAGGCAAAACTGACGGGATATTTTGAAGCACTGCACACACCAGACCGTTTCTGGCACAACGCAGCGAGCAGCAGAGGGCAGCTCAGAGTCAAAGAGCCCAGGGCCGAGAAACCTCAAGGCCAGTCCAAAGACAGCCGGCACCACTGCTCCCTGATCTGCACTCTTCCTGCTACGTGGAATTGTTACCTGTAATTGCTCAGAAATAGTGAGCACAACCCAAATCGGTTACCTTTAAGATGCAAAAGTGGGTGATATACACCAAGTAATTTAGCCCCTTCCTTTGTCAAAAAGATACCACAAGACTCTGGAGCTGAATTTCGAAAGAAAAGCCTAAATGTCACCTGGGAGAGAGGAAACAGACACCGCAGAAAAGTATTCGCAATTGTCAGAAAGAAGTTGGCCTCCCTGGGGCAGGTGGTTTTGGGGCCAAGGGTTCAGGATGGGAGGAACAGAGTCTGCGACTGCCCCCGCGATGCTCGCCCACCTTGTAGCACTCATATCTCTCGTAGGAGGTCCCTCCTGGAGACTCGGGGAAGACGTACGGCTGAGGGTGCTGATTGTGCCAGAATTCTTCCTCTGCCTCCCTCAGCAGTTGGGTGGCCTTCACCATATCCTTTTCATTCTTATGTTCTTCAAACCGAGCTCTCAGCAAACAAGCAAAGTAGCGGTATTTGTCCCTTAAATCAAAATGGTTTTGGAGATTAGAAATGTTACCTACTCAACTGAGCAGGATTACTGCCTGACAAGAGGCTGTACTTCCACTAAGCCCTTCTGGTTATGTAGCATGACTACCTGGACCTTCCCCAGGCCCTGCCAATGGAACAGCCACATCGTTAGGACTGCTTACTCCGCAGTTCCCCTGCCCCCGACAGTGGGGGGGGGGAACAAAAAACTGTATTAGGGGCATCCGGGTGGCTCAGCTGGTTAAGCTTCTGACTACAGCTCAGGTCATGATCTCCTGAACTCTAAGTTTGAACCTCGCATTGGGCTCTGTGCTGACAGCTCAGAGCCTGGAGCTGCTTCGGATTCTGTGTCTCCCTCTCTCTCTGCCCCTCCCCTGCTCACACTCTGTCTCTCTCAAAAATAAACATTAAAAAAAAATTAAAAACACTGTATTAAATACAACCTAACCACTTTCCCCACTTTCTCCTCCAAAAAAAAAAAAATGCAGATTCAAACAACAAAAAAAGATAATTTGCAAAAGAGAAAAACTATAGCCTCTGTAGGATCATTCAACATGCATTAAATGACAACTTACTGAATTTCCACCTACTTTGTGCAAGGTACTGTGCTAAATTCTGGAGATACAAAGATGAGTAGGAAGGGAGGTGTTACACAATTCTATTGCCTGAATCAGAGACATAGGAGTTTGAATCCTGACTCCGACACTAACTGCAGGATTGTAGGCAAATTAAGGTCAGGTTCTAGAAGAAATGGTAGGCAGAGATCATTTAAAGCCTTTCAATAATCCAAGCCACAGATGACAAGAGTGTGAAGCAGGCAACTGTGATGGTAGGAGACAGGAGAGAGACATTTATGCTACAGAATTATGAGAGTGTCTGCTGAAATCAAATTGCTTGGGACTAAATCTTAGCTTACTCGCCATGTAACCTGGGGGTAATGTCTTTAGGCCATGGGTTCCTCCTCTACAAGTGTTAGTAACAGTACCTAGATCTTAAAGTTATCCTAAAGATCTGACAAACCAAATCATATAAACACACTTCAGACAGTGCCTGGTACCCCCTCTGCTCAATAATGTCAGCTACCAACATTATTACACTGTGGAGAGAATTTACAAAAATCAGTATCCAATTATACACAGCACACAAGTACATGTGTCACTGGCAGAGTTGGTAAGTAGAGAGTATTTGAGAACAATTCTAAAACTTAAAGCTGAGTGGCTGAATAATGCCATTACTAACAATACCATTAGCTGAGACAGGGAATTTGGGGAAAGGATCAGAATGAGGCAGCAGAGAGTCTGGTTTTAAGGCATTAAGACAAGATGAGTTTCAAAGAACAAAAATTGGAAAACAGCTATAGAGACAAGCGAGTGTAGGTGGTAACTCAAGTCCTAGATGATTAGATGAGGGTACCTGAAGTATATACACCAATTACCGAGGACCTGGGATGCAACCATGGAGAACAAAGAGCACTGAGGACAAAAGGAGAAAGAAAAGTCCTAAGAGAGGAGGTAAGTCTTAAAAAAACGCTGAGTCAATGTTATCATAGGAGATGCTTTCATTCTTTCCTCCATGACTATGGACTTTAATATTCCCAGATGCAGGGGAGTCTAGGTGGCTCACTTGGTTATGCATCCAACTCTTGATTTTGGCTCAGGTCATGATTTTGCGGCTGGTTATGTTCAAGCCCCGCATCAGGCTCTGTGCTAACAGTGGGGGGCCTTCTTGGGATTCTCTCTCTCTCTCTCTCTCTCTCAAAAATAAATGAATTAAAAAAAAAAATCCCAGATGCGATTCAGTGTTACCTGAATCCTTCATCTTTGTAAGACTGGTAATTCTCTGTTATCTGTTTACATGTCCATCTTCCGCATTAACCCATGAGCTGCTACAGCGGAGAAAGAGGACTTACTAATTTTTATTTATTCAGTAGCCAGCAAAGAACCTGAAATGCAAATTTTGTCAGATGAATTGATGAGGAAAATCAGGGAAGAGACTAACAATTCCACAACACTGAGCCTGGCCATCTTTCTGTCTAGCAAAGAGAAGCAGGTCAATGGCTTTCCAATAATCACAAATGGGCGATCTGGGCTTCAAGGATACCCTCCCCAACTTTTCCAGACCTACTTGGTTTCCCATCATTTAGAGCTTTTTCCCAGAAGCTCTTCTCCTGGGACTAGGCTTTAGGATTCTGATGAGGCCTGGCATCTACACATCTTGGGTTGCCACCCCACCATGCACTGCATCCAGGTCATGAAAATCTGTATGTCTGAAGACTATGTCCTAAGACTACTCTCGGATGGACAGAGAGAAGAAAGAAGAGAATTACATGGCTAGTAAAGAATTATGTGAATGTGAAAATACTGGAAAGGGCTGGATGAAACTGAAGAGGAAAGCTGACTCGAGGGGTGAGAGACTGATGATGCTTTAGGGTTAGGCACCTGAGTTTTAATCCTGGCCCAGCCACCAGCTGGAGGGACTTGGCAAATTACTCTCCCTGCCTATTTCCTTACCTGCAAAATAAGGCTAAATAATCCCTGACTCCTAGAGTTGTTCTGAGAACTAAAAACCAACGCACATATTACTGTTGCTTATATTAAGAACAAGAAGGTCACGAAGAAAGCTCTTATTTAGTAAGCGCTGGACTTCCATCGGTATTCCTGAACAGAAAACTGAGGCCTAAGCCAGATAAACAACTCTTCAAGGTCTCGCAGCTAGGGGCGACAAGCTTGGATTCGAACTCGGGCCTACGGCCGGCTTCCCACTTTGTCCTCCTTGTCCTTGAGCCGCTCGGTCCCCCGAGGCCTGAGGATCCCCGGGATCCCCTCCCCGCACCCTAGGTCCCCCTCTCCCACCTGTGGACACAATACGACTCCAGGTGGCGCAGCGCCCGCTTATAAAGCCGCAACACCTTCTGCTGGTGGGTCAGGTAGGCACCCGGCGCGCAGAACGCCATGACCGCCCGCTTCCTCCAGCGGCCGCGGGGACTCCCGGGAAGCAGGAGGCCGGGCCAAGGGGCGGGGCGGCCGGAAGGGCGGGACGACGGACGCCACTTCCGCTTCCGCCGGGGAGGAGCCGGGCCGCAGACATGAGTCGCTTCAAGTTTGTGGGTGAGTGCCTTGGGGATTCTTGGGCTTTTCTGATTATATGCGTCGCTCGCCGCGGCCAGGCACCAGGACTTGAGCGCTCCCGCTTTTTGAAGGTTGAAAGGGCACTCCGTGGAAGAGGGCGCAGGGAGGCTTCTGACTGCCGTTAATGTTCTGGTGCTCGGCCTGTGTGCTGGTTTCACGGTGCGCTCATTTGTGAAAATTAACAAACTGTGCAGTTACGATTTATGCTCTTTTCAACGTATGTGTTCTATTCAGTTATAAGAGGAAGCGAAACTACAAAAAGAGAGGCCGTTCACTGTATTCCCCTCCCTCCCATGAGCACCTCCCGCCCCTTCCCCTTCCATGACGGAGAGGATGACAGCTTCAAGGGACCCGTTCACTAATTCATGCGTTCATATCCCAGTTACTGAGCGCCTCTGGTGGGACAGGCACCGGTCTAGGAACTCAAGGCACAAAGACCCTTATCTGCTGGGATGACCATCAGGTGGAGAAAACTAGAGGACACAAATAGTGGAGAGAAGAACAAGTTCTGTTACTTGACGAGTACAATAATCCGTTCACCATCGGTAGAACAAGAGGGAGAATGCGACAGGAACCAAAGGGGGAAGAGTATTTACTACCAGGCACCTAGGGAAACCTGAGACATTGTGAAAGCTAGGATTGGAAGGGTAACTTGGGACTCACATGTCTGGCTGACTTTACTTTTACTGTGTATAGAGTGGAGCTTCGCTGAAGGCTTTTAACCTTCATGGGTTAAGTAAATCATGGGGTGTCAGTTATGCACCAGGAACCTTGGGCTGTGCGTTATTACAGCAGTGAGTGAAGCTGGGCATGATTCTTGTCATCGTGGAATTTCCAGCTACTTGAAGGTGGGAAAATGGCAATGATCACATCTCTCTTTTAATAAGGCAATCCTGATAGCTACTGTAGGTTTGGTGGGGGAGGGAGAGAGCTAGGGAGACGTTTCCAAGCTTGAACTAGGGCAGTGAAAAGGGAGAGAGAAATACAAGAGATGTCCGTATGCAGCATTTCGCAGCAGCGTGTTGATGGCGGTAAGAGAGCGTGAACAGTCAGAGATGACTCAGGGCTGGGATAAGTACCTAAATATGAGCGGAAGCATGATTAGTCTGGCAATGGGTAGGAGATGTATCGAGATCCATGTGATTTAGGTTTACGTTTGAGAGTCTTAATAGGACATCCAGCTGAAGACGTTCACTGGGCACTTGGAAATGTAGTGTGAGAGGTCAGGATTATAAATTTAGACCTGAGAGTTATTTATTTTTACTACATTTGTCAATTCTACTTTTCAAAAAAATGTTTATTTGTTTTGAGAGTGCACCGGTGCAGCAGAGGGGGAGGGAGAATCCCAAGCAGGCTCCGCACTGTCAGTGCAGATCCCGACACGGAGCTATAACCCACAAACCGGGAGGTGATGACCTGAGCCGAAACCAAGAGTCGATTGCTTAACCGACTGAGCCGCCCAGGTGCCCCAATCAGTTATTTTGAGCAGTATTTTTTACCAAGGACTTTGTGCTAACTTTGTGGAACTATGAAAGAACCTAGTGGCACAGTTAATTTTCAGACCGAAGAGATATGTACAGTCAAGACTTATATGCCATCAAAGCAACTGCAGGGGAGAATGTGTCAAGTGCCACAAAAGAAATTTAAAAATGGTGTAGGAGAGCCTGGGGTGGGGCTGGGGGGAACAGCCCTCCATGGTCGCAGACATTTTCCAGGTGTGGTGTCTATCCTCCTCCCCGCTCCAATCTGTGATATAATTGATGAGGGAGGTGGGCCAAGAGCCATGAAGCAGTACACAAGGAAAAGACTTATTTGTGATATAAAACTAAATCCTTGCCTCCAGTCATGTCTCCTTCAACCCATTGTACATATAGTCTCCAGTGTGGTCTGTATAAAAATCAACTACATTTTTCTTCTGCTTCAAATCCTTCAGTTACTGTCCTCAGGAGAGTTGACGTACCTTGACATAGAATACAAAACCTTTTTGTGTTCTGGTCCTGTCCACTTTTCCAGCCTTATCCCTCTTATTTTTGAAACATTTGGACATGCTGTTTCTTGCCTCTGACAAGGTTTTAGAGTGGCAGTTTGGAACCGTAAAGTCACTTCTCCCTCTAATATCCTACTGACTACCATCTTGCCTGGTTGATTTTTGCTTGCTTTTTCAGACTTTGTAACTACACCTTTTAAAACATTATTTTATAATATTTGTGTGTCTGCCTTTCCCACTAGACCACACTTTAAGACAGATAATCAGTAATGTTTCTTTGTTTCCCAGGGGCTTAGTACAGTGACCATTCAATGGAAGTAGGGATGGATAAAACAATATATGTAGTTTTAGTACTGTGGTGATAAAATTGATGAAGGAATTTCAACCAGATAAGCTAGGAAAGACTTCTTGAAGAAGGTGGTTGTAATTAGAATCCATTCTTTTTCCTGTAGGATCTTCATTTCGACTTTTCTGAGATAGCTGGTGTTAAAATTTTTAAGTACAGTAAAACCTTGGTTTGGGAGCTTAATTTATTCCAGAAACATGCTTGTAATCCACAGCACTTGTATATCAAAGCAAATTTCTCTGTAAGAAATAATGGAAACTCAGAAGATTAGTTCCACTTAGAAGAAGATTTGTAATATAGTACAAAATAAAAAAGAAAATACAAAATATAAAGAAAAATAAATTAACCTCCACTTACCTCTGGAAACCATCGTGGCTGGTGTGAGGGAGACGAGAGAGGAGGGTTATTGTGTAGGACGACTTTCACGATCACTAATGGATGCTGACTACAGTACGGCATTAATAAACTCTTGTCATCTACTGTGTTTAATGCAACTAGCGATAAGGCAGCAGAGGGAAGGGTCTATATCTGCGGGCAGCCTGACCTAGAATGAAGCAGAGCATTCCGAAGCTTACTCTTGTATGGAAAACCAAAGGACTGTCCATAGATGCTTTGAAGTGACAAAAAATACACTAGTGCCAATTGTGAGCACCTTCCAGTGTCCTGAAAAATCACTGATTTCTGCCAAACACCGTGGCCTGAGACTGAGCATCTGAGCATGAGAGGTCACCCACAATCCCGCATCGAGAGAGAGAAGAATCATTGGTTCAGCTGTGATCATATGATGTTCAGTGTCATGTGCTACCTGTATTGCAAGACATTGCTCGTTTATCAAGTTAAAATTTATTAGAAATGTCTGCTTCTCTTGCAGAACAAGTTACTCACAATCCAAGGTTTTGGTGTATATCCTTCCCTAGTTGTTTAACACATTTATACATGGAAGCATTTTCCAGCAGTGACAGGAGTGGTGTGTAACTCTTGACGCATTTACATTTCTTTGGATGTTTTGTGTATATGTTTGAAATAATGTAGTGCTCTCTTTAAATTAAGGTATTTTGTTCTCTAAATCTTCCAAAGTAAAATTGGTACTCCAGGAAATCTCAAAATGTTACAAACTCTGGAACACCCCCAGTTTGAGAAGCACAGCTTCAGATGATTCCTGTTCTAGCCCTTCCTCCTGCCCCTCCATGAGCCAATGAGAGCACCTGGCAGTAGTTAGTGACCTAACTACCTCTTGGGGCCACCCAGCTGGGGGCTTTTAGGCACCTAAGATTTATCTGTAGTTGTTTTCTTTCAACAGGATTCTCATCCTGCCCTGTGTTCCTAGAAGCAGGCTGGTTGGGAGTTCTGGCCACCTTTTTTGTATAAATTCTGTTTCCCTAGGGATTGGATCCTAGTTCCTGTTCTTCGTCTTTGATTGCCTTGAGCAACCTAGTCATTCATTCATTCTAAAGTCTCCGTGCCATCCAGTGTGCCGAATGCTAGGAATCAGTGGGGGTCAGAGACCGGGTCGCAGTGTAGTGGTGGAGGCAGCCTCATAAGTGCACTAATGGCTTTACCACAGTTACAGAGAAGGGGACACTGAAGAAAGGAAACATGGTTCTCTGGGTGTTTGGTGAGGAACAAAACTTACTCTGGTGGGTTAGAAAAGATTTCCTTGAGGACGTGACCCTTGAGCTGAGCTCTGAAAGACTGAGTTGGTAGGCAAAATAGGCAAAGAGAAGGTTCGAAACAGCACAGCCGATGCAAATATCCTGTGGCAAGAGGATACGTGGTACTTTTTGAGGAACTGAAAAATGACCGGTGGTCTGGAGCAGAGAGAAATGGGGAAGGGGCTAAGTGGATAGGAGGATGGTAGAGAATGAGCTGAAGAGATCAGCAGAGCCAAGATCATACCATGTCAGGACTTCAGTTTTTGTCCTAAGAGGGAGGAGTGTGATTGAGAGTATCATGGTCTGATTTATGAATGAAAGAAAATTTGGGTCCGGTGGAGAACAGAGTGGAAAGGGGTCAGAGTGGCATCCGGACTGGAATCGGTTGACTAGAGTGTTACGGTAGTTGGAAAAGAGTATACAGGTTTGGTTGGGAGATAAAATCTACCTACTTGGTATGTACACCTTGAGAGAAAAGGCGATGTCCTCGATTGCTTTAGTCCATTTGGGCTGTTCTAACAGAATATCGAAGATTGGATAGCTTATAAACAAATATTTCTCACAGTTCCGGAGTCTGGGAAATCCAAGATCAAAAGTGCTCACGTCCAAAACAGTATCTAATCCAGAGTCATGCATTTGGATGTCCTTCAGTTTTGTATCTAGCACAGAGGTTGGGCAACTTTTTCCTTAAAGGGCCACATAGTATATATTTTTTATTTTGTGGACCATATGATCTCTATTGGAAATACTCTGATCTCGCCACTCAAAAGCAGCCATAGACACTACGTAAACAAATGGGTGTGGCTTTCTTGCAGTAAAAC